TGTATTCTTTTGTTCCTATGACTGATGCTGGAACATAGAACTTTGTATAATTTTTTTTTCCAGATCAGGAAGATGAAAGTGTCCTTGTCAGAACCAAAGATTAGGACAAATAGAAAAGAACAGGTTTGTGATTAAGCAAAGCCTTGCAAACTAAAAAAGATGAGTTGGGACTCCTCTGTTGAGGTGGTCAGGGAAAGAACAACGTTCATTATCTTTGTGTTGAAAATAAATTTAGCCACACGTTGGCTCACAGTCATGTCTCAGTACTCAGGAAACTGAGGCAGGAGGATTGCTGTGAGTTTCAGGCCAGTCTGTGTTGAAATAGGAGCGGCAGGGCTGCGTCCCCGGCACCTGGCCACCCGCATGGCTAGTTTATACCCAGAAATAATTACACGGAAACCGTATTCTTTCAAACACTGCCCTGGCCCAGCTAGGTCCAGTTTCTTATTGGCTAGCTCTTACATATTGTTCTAACCCATTTCTAATATTCTGTGTAGCCCATGAGCTGGCTTACCAGAGAGGATCTTAACCTGCGTCTGTCTGGAGTGGGAGCATCATGGCGACTCCTCCTCTAACCTTCTTTCTCCCAGAATTCTCTTCTGTATACTCCGCCTACCTAATTTTCTATCCAATAAAATGGGCCAAGGCAGTTTCTTTATTAGTAAGAAATCATTCCCACATCATTTCCCCTTTTTCCGTTTAAACAAAAAAGAAAGGCTTTAACTTTAGCATAGTAAAATTACATATAACAAAACAGTTATCAAGTAAGAATTACAGTTACAATATTTATATCTATTTTATCTCTTATCATAACTAAGGAAAACTATAACTATTTATTCTTCAACTCCATCAAAGACTCCAGAAGGATATAATATTATCTAAGTAAACAAGAAATAAGAAAACTCTAGAAATGACAGAGACATCTCGCTGCCTGGACAGTCACCCAAAGTTCCTCTGTACCGTTGGGGCATCCATCTTCGGCCTACAGGCCCATGGTATCCAGATACATTTCCATGAAGCAGGAAATTTTAAAGACAGTTCAGTCACTTTCTGCTGTGTTCTGTAGAATGTCTTGTAGACTCTTTCATGAATCAGGAACCCCGAAAGACCATCTCACCTTTAGGCAAGTTCAGCAGTCCTCTCTCTGAGGGTTCTCTGTGTCCAGTTTATGCAACAGTCCAGGCAAGAGCAGTTTCTTGCCCAAATGACTATCCAACTCCATAAGGATCCTCTTCGATGCCCATCTTCCTCTTGAAGTAGCTGGTGCTGCCAGGAGCAGACGTGTCTCCTTGTCATGAAAAGTCCTAAGTTATTAAAATATTTTAAATGCCATATTCTGCAGTCTTTGAAAGATATGAAGAATGCCTATCTAATTGAAATATATCTCTATATATCTAGAAAATCTAACTAACATGACTACAAGCTTAACTATTAGCAATGATTATCCATTAACAACCTATATTTCCTAATTATACATTACATTTTAAGTGAACTACATAATCACAATACCTTAATCAAGTTCAAAAATACATATACATATAACAAAATTGACCTTAAAATCCATACCAATGCAAATTATTCATATCTATATCATATCCCCCTTTAAATGTAAAAGAACATTTATAAACAATATTTGGGAACATGGGCGTAGTTTTTTCTCTCCAAACTGCTTCCTGCTGAATGGGGGCACTGTTAATCAGATCATTTAGGGTGTAACCTGTGTGTCAGGTTCATCTCGGTTGGCAGTTGAGTGAAGTAATTTTTTGAGGGTGTTCACAGCAACCTTTCAGGAGGGCGTGGTCTATCATACCATACCGGGATAGATGCAATCCATAGGGTCACATCCTCTGTGGAAACAAAAGAAGACCCTCTCCAAAGCATCATATCCTTAGATCCAAATTTTGAAGTCAAGATACCTTTAGAACATATGTGCAGGTTCAGCTTAGCAGCCCATATAATAAAATGTCTCTTTGTACTTAGCTCCTTCACAGTCAAAAATTTTAAAGAAAACACAATGTACATAATCCAGACTCTCTGTGAATTTTTCATTTTTACGTGGCTTATTTTTCTTTATTTCTCTTAATCTATAACTATCTGTACTTCTGTACTCTGTCTCTTTAAAGACTTTACCCTTTTTCTTTTTAAGACATTAACTTTATTCTTTATATTCTCTTTTTTTCCCCAAGCCTACGTACATTCATCCAACGGTGTCTGAATCTGTTTTACTGTGAATCTGTATTTTTTTTTTTATTATCCAGGAGCATTTCTTAAAATGTTAAGCATTTCTTAAAAACTTAAGTTGCACCATGTATAGGTAATACGGTACTGCCTGTGTCCTGCCCAGTCTAAACCTTAACTGCACGGTTTTAAGGTAATTACGGTAGTTCCTGCCTGAGATCAGCACAGTTCAGCAAGGAGCAGCCGCTCCTGCCTCAGAGTCATTTGGTGCTTTTGAGCTGAGCACAGTTACAGGCAAACAGCAGTTTACATTGGAGCCGCAATCAGCAATTTAATTTTGAGACTGAGTGTGCAGCACAGAAACTCTTTTTATCCAAGTTACAGCCAAATCTGACACGCAGAGCACTGCGCAGTCTGAAAACGCGTCTCTGTATGGCAGCAGGAATCCGCCATGCTCTTCCGCCTGCCTAAGCCTGATTCCGCCATCTGCCCAGGTGTAGGCAGGGAACGCTGAGCCATCGGCAGGTCTCAGAGCAATCTCCTCCGATCCCAAGTGGGAACAGAAACATCCAGTCCCATAAAAGCCTTGAAATGCTTTAAAGCCAGAGTTCACGCTGGCAGCATAGCACCAGGAAGCCGCGCTTTAAAATGACGCAGCTTTTTTTCTCTGCTGCTGTTGCTGAATCAGGAATCTCTCTACAGCATGTCACCAACAAAACAGCAAAAATCTGTGTTAAACTCTGTTTCCCTTATTTTTAAGCCTTCTCAGGTTTTTAAGTGGATTTAGCCCCACGTTGGGCGCCATCTGTTGAAATAGGAGCGGCAGGGCTGCGTCCCCGGCACCCGGCCGCCCGCATGGCTAGCTTATACCCAGAAATAATTACACGGAAACTGTATTCTTTCAAACACTGCCTGGCCCGGCTAGGTCCAGTTTCTTATTGGCTAGCTCTTACATATTGTTCTAACCCATTTCTAATATTCTGTGTAGCCCATGAGCTGGCTTACCAGAGAGGATCTTAACCTGCGTCTGTCTGGAGTGGGAGCATCATGGCGACTCCCCACCAAGACTCCTTCTCCCAGAATTCTCCTGTTTTCTCCACCCACCTAAGGGTGGGCCTTATCAAGGGGCCTAGGCAGTTTTTTTATTAATAAGAAATCACTCCCACATCAAGTCTGAACAATGAGTGAGACTTGTTTCAAAAAAACGAAAAAAACAGGTGACTAAGAATAAATATGAGTTGATTTTATAGAAATCATTCCCACTACAAATGGCATAACCTAGCATTTTGACGTGAGAACCCTGGCCATAATAGTTAATGGAGTCCTGAAGACCCTCTCACATTCTGGTTCACAGCCTAACTTCCAATTGCTACTCTTGAACCTTATGTTTCTTGCAGTGTCACTGTGTACTTTGTTTGACATCTCTAAGTGTTTTGTTTTTAGTCCCTGTTGTATACCATATTATATGAAATAGAAGTCTCTCACTCCCCAAGTGATAATAGTGTACTTTGAAATTCTGGGAATGAGAGAACTTTATCAATCAGGGCCCTGGTAGAAAACAGGTGGCACATTCAAACTGGAAATTTGAGGAGCATTTAATTGTATCATTTAGAGTTCATTCAGGAAAGAGAATCTTTGTATTCTATGAAAAATTTTGGTACAAGAATTAAGGATTATAACTGAGTGTTGTGGCACACACTTTTGATTCCAGCACTTGAGAGGCAGAGGCAGAGACCTCTGTGAGGTCTAGGCCAGCCTGATCTAAAAATGAGTTCTGGGATGGCCAAGGCTGTTACACAGAGAAATCCTGTCTCAAAAAACCAAAAAGGGGAAGAAAACAAAAAACAGGAAGAAAAGAATTAAGGATTGGGCCAACATGGGAAGAACTGGAATTGGGAGAGCCTGTTCATGCTGACCAGAGATTGAACTATATCATAGGAGATATTCTTGGAAGTTTGTGAGGGAGCTGGTGGGAGTCTTTTTCTGCTGCAGTTGCCTCTAGGTCGTATCAGCCTCTCTTTTTCCATTCTTTCTAATCGCCCTTGTGCTTCTCTTTAACACTGCTGGAAAAGACTCTGAAAAGTAGCACCACCACCACCCCAGCTCCTGATCTGTTGACTGTGGACAGCAGTGCAGAAGGATGGCCAAATTGGGAAGGCGGCATCTTCTGGCCTGGCATTGTTGATACCTCCTCAGCTCAAGGGCAAGAAGTAGTTTCTGAGCTCAGAGAAAATGGCTAAATGCTTAGGTTGCCAGATATCTGACAAGAGCCATCCTTGTTTGTAGAAAGTCTTTACCAGCCTCAGAAATTGCCTAGTCAGGGCCAGGAGAGGATATTTCACTGTCTCCAAACTGGGGCAGAAGCCTGTCCATTGTCTTTGTACTGTCCTTCCTAGGTTGTAAAGTAGTTTGTCACTGGGTGAAGAATGAGTCACGAGGGCAGATAGTATATCCTCACATGGGATTTAAGTAGAACTATTGTCTTGAGGACTGAAGTTTTTTTATTCTTTATTTTATTTTTTTAAAGTAAGGAACATATTCTGTTTTTCTGGCAATAGAAGGTCGTTAGCTAAACCTTGGAAAGCTAAGAACTTTCTGGGAGATATTTGAGAGGATTTTAGGGAGAAAAGAATGGATTGGGGGGGGGGGCTGGAGAGATGGCTCAGTGGTTAAGAGCACTGCCTGCTCTTCCAAAGGTCCTGAGTTCAATTCCCAGCAACCACATGGTGGCTCACAACCATCTGTAATGGGGTCTGGTGCCCTCTTCTGGCCGGTAGGCAGAGTACTGAGAATACTGTATACATAATAAATAAATAAATCTTTAAAAAAAAAAAGAATGGATTGGTGAGTGTAATGCTCTTAGATGATGACAAAGACAATAAAAATTAATGCTAGTTTTCTATAAAATGGTGAGGTCACCAGCTTTCCACCAGGCTGGAGACAGCAGTCACAGCTGGGATAGTCTGGAATGTATAGACTCAAAGTCCTGGACCTCATTAGTACACCTCTGTGGCCCATCTGAAATGTGAAGTTTGAGAAAAGGGAAGAAAAGTGTGTTGGTAAATCTCTTCCAGATACACGTGAAAATTCCCCATTGATGACTAGCTCTTTGGGATATATATATTTCTTTTGTTATGTATCTATATGGTAGGATCATATTGGGATATTTTATATGCTGATTATAAGCTGCAAATACTTCAAGTTTATATTTTTTATTTCTGACATTTTACTTTTCCTGACTACTTGAAACTTCTACAAAGGATAAACTTGGAGCACATTTGTTACCCGTACTTCATGTGCATCAAGAGTATGTACTATGCAGGAGATAATGGCTATCATTTTTTTTCCTTTCAAGTCTGTAAACTATATTACTATAGAAAAAGAGGGATAATCCACAGTAAAGGAGTGTTTAGTACAGGGCTAGGAACAGGGCCACAGAGGAATTTTTCCATGTCTGTTTTCTCTATAGAGATATGGTTTAAAATAACCAAGCAGCTTCAGGCCAGATTGCTGATATCTAAAGTGGTCTCCTGGTAGCTCTGATTTAGGAAAAATAGGAAGCAAATGGCATGATTTACGTTCACACCTTCAGAAACTAGTTTTACTGAAGAGTTAACTAAACAACACAGAAAGTGTCTATAAGGAGATTATCTCTGGAAGTAGCTTTTCATACCTTCAGTTAACTGCTAACTTTAATGTTTTGTTCAGTTTATCTCTCATCAGCCACTAAAAACTAAATTCTAAGAACTAGAAGTATGCTAGAAACAAGGGAAGTTTAGATGTGGATGGAATTGTTCTTGGCAGTCCTAAAGATTGGAGGAAGTAGAAAACCAACTGGAACAGAATTGGAGGGATAACACTGAAGGGACATGTTATGACCTGATAGAGTCCCCTGCATAATGTAGTAGGACAGATGTGGCCAGTGGCGCTGCCACACTGGGCTCTCATGAACTTGATGAATTCTGTACCTCAGTTTCCTCATGTGTGAAATGAGAGTTCTAGTCTTGTGAGGATTGAGTTAAAATATTGTAATTGCTGGAACAGGGCCAAACATTAAACACCTAAATAGATGGTGTTTAAACAGACTCATGAGAGAAATGGTATCTGTTGAAGAGGCGTTTCAAGATGACAAGAAGTAGTTTTCTTCAGATCCTGACATTTCTTTTTTAATATAAACATTTAAAAGGATAGCTTTGAGTCATGTGACCATACATAATCAGACTTAGTCCCATGTCTAACTATTTTAGTTATAAGGTATTTTAGAAGTGGGTCAGGAGCCAGGCTTGGTAGCACATGGTTCTTTAATCCCTGCACTCGGGAGGCAGAGGCAGAAGGATCCCTGTGCTCTTGAGTTTGAGGCCAGCTTGATTTTTATATTGAGTTGCAGGATAACCAGGGCGAGAGAGAGAGACCCTGTCTCAACAGCAACAACAAAAACTAAACCAAACAAAAATGTCCTTATCTTAGGGCTAGAGATATGACTCAATAGTTAGCAATACTTGTTGCTGCTATTCCAAAGGACCTGAGTTGGGTTCCCAGTACCTACCTATCTTGGGCAGCTCACAACTGCCTGTAACTCGAGCTGGCCTCCAGGGCACCTTCACATACATAGCATATATTTACTCAGGTATACACACACAAAATAAGTCTTTAAGAAAAATGTGTCACTGGGTGGTGGTGGTATATACCTTTAATCCCAGTACTAGGGAGGCAGAATAAGTTGGATCTCTGAGTTTGAGGCCATGCTGGTCTACAGAGTAAGGTCCAAGACAGCCAGGTCTACACAGAGAAACCCTGTGTGTGTAAGGGCGGGACAGGGGGAAGGACACACACACGTAAAAAAAAGAGGAAAACAGTTTAGGGTTGCTGCTCATCTGCTGTGTATTTGTTTACTTTTGAAGTGTTTCCTCATATTTCTCCTGTGTAGCCAAGTTAACTTGGTGTTTTCCATAGAACTGGACCCAAAGGATTTTACAGGTAGTTTTTTAAGTGTCTTCCAGCTCTGTTTTTAGATTGATGATAATTCTTCTCTCACCCCCTTAGCACTGTCTCTGAATATGTGAGTTCTAGCTTAGTTCTGTAATACCTAATTTTTAAGCCATTTCATCGTCCATGCAAAATGTCTGCTCTGCTCATTACTGTTTGAATGACATACGAATATTATAGCAAGAAACAGCAGTCTCTGCCTTTTAGGAGTTTATGTTTTAAGTTGAAGGAGAGGTAAGACAGTAAACATTTCTTTGCTTTAATTTATTAGACTGTACTGCAGCTGTATTGAGAGTGAGGGAACAAAGTAAGGGAGGAAGGAGGAACAAAGATGAGGGTACGTAGTAGCAGTTTTAAACAAGATACTCAGGAGATCTTGCTAACAGGTAATGCTTGTCCAGAGACTGAAAAGAGGTGAGAAGGACAAGCCATGTGGCTGGCAGGAAGGGGGTGGTGTTAAGTATGGAAGTGAGCATGGTAAGCAGAGCAGAGTGCTGGTGGCCTAGCCCAAAGCAAGGAGATGGCAAATGTAATTAGTTGCCTCTGGGCAGCTCCATTTTAACTTCCTTTAAGGGGACTAAGACACATGCTCTATAGACCACTGTGGGAAAAGTATATTAGGACTAGCTATGTATATTTCATAAACTTTCATAACTTTTTAAAGGTTCATTTTTTTAAAAGTCCTTTGAAGAAGTTTGACTTTGTCTTACTCTTTTCTGGCTCTGAGAAAGGAGACAAGCCCAAGCAAAAGCAAAAGTAAAATCAATTTAGGAGGCTGAAAAGAGGGCTCAGTAGGCAATAAGAGCATATATTGCTCTTACAGAAGACCCAGGATCCATTCCCAGCACCCACTTCTGTTTACTCAACTACCGTCTATAACACTCCAGCTCTAAGATTTCCAACATCCTCTTCTGGGTACACAAGCCCCTGCTCTCAAGTACATACACTGACACATATACATGCACATAACTAAAAATAAATATGGAAAAATCTATTTAAATAAGAGGGTGATATATTAATAGAGATGCAGAAGTGGCAGCTCAGATAACTCTGGAAACCTGGGTTCTGGGTGTACATATACATTTTTATGTATGTATGTATTATATGAATGGTTGGTTAATTTGTTAGTTTCATATTTAATTTTTGAATGTTTTGCCTGTGTGTATGTCTGTGCATTATGTGTGAGCCTGGTGCCTTGAGGGATTAGAAGAGGGTATCAGATCCCCTGCAATGGGAGTTAGAGATAATTGTGAGCTACCATGTTGGTGTTGGGAATCAAACCCAGGTCCTCTCTGCAAGAGTAACAAATGCTTTCTGTGTATATGTGTACTACATATATGCCTCTCCAAGAAGATCAGAACATGGTGTCAGATCTGGAGCTGGAGTTCCACATTTTTGTAAGTCAGTCGCTAAACCCAGGTACTTTTAGCCTCAGAACTACCTTTCTGGATATTCTTTTCAGCTCTTTTTTTTTTTATTGTTCTCTACCATAGGAATAATAGTAATAACTGAATATTAGATGGCAAATGTAAAGCCACATGGAAAATAGAAGCACTAAAACTTCTTGGAACCTCCAAAAGAAAAAAAAGACTAGTAACTGCTAGTCTCTGACCTATTCTGGCCTATATCTAGCACTTAATACCTGGAAGTTGAGGGTAGGTGGTCAAGAGGGGGTATTTGGGACACAATTTTATGTCAAGAGGGGGCCAGATTGGATTTTTATATGGGTGACTAAGGAATCCATAGTAGTAAAGAGTTAAGTGTCCCAGAAGATAGTCATCATAGGCCGTTGTAATTATAGTCAACCTGAAGTGGTTTGCATTTGAGTCTCAGGATAGTTCTGTTTCTCAGTCGGTGAGTGGAGCAGGCATGGGTAGCCCCTAAAAGAACTGCCTCATGAGGTACCTCACTTTAGCAGCCCGTCTAATGAATGGAAATAAAGAGATGAAAGAGGTTTCTGTTACCCTTCCCCACTATAACTGAAGATTAATGAAGAAATATGGTTTTTGTTGCTCGTAATAACATCCTACTATTTACCCGAGTGGAATATTTATCCCAGTTGAGTTTGTGAGGTTTGTTTATCTAATAATGAAGTTTTTTAAAAGACTTTATTGAATGTGTTTGTATATACCTAGTGTTTTGTTGTGTCACAGATGCCTTCCTTCTTTAGACTATTTCCCTGCTTATTTGCATTATCAGAAATGGATAGAATAAGGAAAAAGGAGTGAAATTTAAAGCAGTCTGCTTTATCTGGTCAGTGGGTTATTTAGACTTGATTTTTGTTCGTACCAATCAAATGTATGACTCATGCTTTTCTTTCTTTTCGTTTTGTAGGAGGGCTGTTGGCCTGCTGCTGTGCTGCTGAACAGTATGCAGTCCTTTCGGGAGCAAAGCAGTTACCACGGAAACCAACAGAGCTACCCACAGGAGGTACACAGCTCATCCCGTGTAGAAGAGTTCAGCCCTCGTCAAGCCCAGATGTTCCAGAATTTTGGGGGAGCAAATAGTGGTAGTGGTGGCACTGGCAGCAACAGTAGTGGACGGCGAGGAACAGCAGCTGCTGCTGCAGCGATGGCTAGCGAGACCTCTGGCCATCAAGGCTACCAGGGTTTCAGGAAAGAAGCAGGAGATTTTTACTACATGGCAGGCAACAAAGACCCTGTGGCAGCAGGAACCCCACAGCCTCCTCAGCGAAGGCCTTCTGGTCCTGTGCAGAGCTATGGACCTCCCCAGGGGAGCAGCTTTGGCAATCAGTATGGGAGTGAGGGTCATGTGAGCCAATTTCAAGCACAGCACTCTGCCCTTGGTGGTGTGTCTCATTATCAGCAGGATTACACAGGGCCTTTCTCTCCTGGGAGTGCTCAGTATCAACAGCAGGCCTCCAGCCAACAGCAGCAGCAACAGCAACAGCAGCAGCAACAACAGCAGCAACAACAGCAAGTACAGCAGTTGAGACAACAGCTTTACCAATCCCATCAACCTCTGCCCCAAGCCACTGGACAGCCAGCTTCTGGCTCATCCCATCTACAACCAATGCAGCGGCCCTCCACTCTGCCATCTTCTGCTGGTTATCAGTTAAGAGTGGGTCAGTTTGGCCAACACTACCAGTCTTCTGCTTCCTCCTCTTCCTCTTCCTCCTTTCCTTCACCACAGCGTTTCAGTCAGTCTGGACAAAGCTATGATGGCAGTTACAGTGTGAATGCTGGATCCCAGTATGAAGGTCATAATGTGGGTTCTAATGCACAGGCTTATGGCACACAATCAAATTATAGCTATCAGCCTCAGACTATGAAGAATTTTGAACAGGCAAAGATTCCACCAGGAACCCAGCAGGGGCAGCAGCAGCAGCAGCAGCAGCAGCAACAACAACAACAACAGCCACAACCTCAGCAGCAGCAACAACAGCAGCAACAACAGCAACATGCCCCCCAGCATGTGATGCAGTACACCAATGCTGCCACCAAGCTGCCCCTGCAGACCCAGGTAGGGCAGTACAATCAGCCTGAGGTTCCTGTAAGGTCCCCTATGCAGTTTCACCAGAACTTCAGCCCTATTTCTAACCCTTCTCCAGCTGCTTCTGTGGTTCAATCTCCAAGCTGTAGCTCTACCCCTTCTCCTCTCATGCAGAGTGGTGAGAATCTTCAGTGTGGGCAAGGCAGTGTGCCCATGAGTTCCAGAAACCGAATTTTACAGCTAATGCCCCAACTCAGTCCAACCCCATCAATGATGCCTAGTCCTAATTCTCATGCTGCAGGATTCAAAGGATTTGGATTAGAAGGCGTGCCAGAAAAGCGATTGACAGATCCTGGGTTGAGTAGTTTGAGTGCTCTGAGTACTCAAGTGGCCAATCTTCCTAATACTGTCCAGCACATGTTACTTTCTGATGCCTTGACACCTCAGAAGAAGACTTCCAAGAGGCCTTCATCATCATCTAAGAAAGCAGATAGCTGTACAAACTCAGAAGGCTCTTCACAGCCTGAAGAACAACTAAAGTCCCCTATGGCAGAGTCACTGGATGGAGGTTGCTCCAGTAGTTCAGAAGATCAAGGTGAGAGAGTGAGGCAACTAAGTGGTCAGAGCACTAGCTCAGACACCACCTACAAGTGTGGAGCGTCAGAGAAAGCTGGCTCCTCACCAACACAAGGTGCTCAGAACGAGGCCCCTAGGCTCAGTACCAGTCCTGCAGCTAGGGAAGAAGCTGCCTCTCCAGGTGCTAAGGACACACCGCTGACTGAGGGAAACACAAAAGTCAATGAGAAGACAATTGGGGTGATAGTCTCCCGGGAAGCCATGACAGGTCGGGTAGAAAAATCTGGTGGACAAGATAAAGGATCCCAAGAGGAGGATCCTGCTGCCAGTCAGAGGCCACCTAGCAATAGTGGTACGAAGGAAGCCAGCCACACATCACTTTCACAGCCAGATCCTCCAGGAGGAGGGAACAAAGGAAACAAGAATGGTGATAATAGCTCCAGCCACAATGGAGAGGGGAATGGCCAGAGTAGCCACTCTGCAGTAGGCCCAACTTTCACAGGCAGGACGGAGCCTAGCAAATCTCCTGGAAGTTTGCGCTACAGTTACAAAGAGAGTTTTGGGTCAGCTGTACCACGAAATGTCAGTGGTTTTCCTCAGTATCCTTCAGGACAAGAAAAGGGGGATTTTGCCAGCCATGGGGAACGAAAGGGTAGAAATGAAAAGTTTCCAAGCCTCCTACAGGAAGTACTTCAGGGTTACCACCACCATCCTGACAGAAGGTATCCTAGAAGTGCTCAGGAACATCAAGGGATGACTAGTGCCCTGGAAGGAACTGCAAGGCCCAACATCTTAGTCAGTCAAACCAATGAATTAGCCAGCAGGGGCCTTCTGAACAAGAGCATCGGATCCCTGTTAGAAAATCCCCATTGGGGACCATGGGAAAGGAAGTCAAGCAGCACAGCTCCTGAAATGAAACAGATCAATTTGTCTGACTATCCCATTCCCAGAAAGTTTGAGATAGAACCTCCATCATCAGCCCATGAGCCTGGGGGCTCCCTTTCTGAAAGGAGGTCAGTGATCTGTGATATTTCTCCACTAAGACAGATTGTCAGGGATCCAGGGGCTCACGCATTGGGACACATGGGTGCTGATGCCCGAATTGGGAGGAATGAGCGTCTCAACCCAAGTTTAAGTCAGTCAGTCATTCTTCCAGGTGGGTTGGTGTCCATGGAAACAAAGCTGAAATCCCAGAGTGGGCAGATAAAAGAGGAAGACTTTGAACAGTCCAAATCTCAAGCTAGTTTCAACAAGAAATCTGGAGACCACTGCCATTCTACCAGCATCAAGCATGAGTCTTATCGTGGCAATGTCAGCCCTGGAGCAGCAGCCCATGATTCCATTTCAGACTATGGCCCCCAAGATAGTAGGTCCACACCAATGAGGCGGGTGCCTGGTAGAGTCGGTAGCCGGGAGACTATGAGGGGTCGGTCTTCTTCTCAGTACCACGACTTTGCAGAAAAACTGAAGATGTCTCCAGGCAGGAGCAGAGGTCCAGGGGGAGACCCTCATCATATGAACCCACACATGACTTTTTCAGAGAGGGCCAATAGGAGTTCTTTACATGCTCCCTTTTCTCCCAACTCAGAAAGCCTGGCCTCTGCTTACCACACAAACACCAGGGCTCATGCTTATGGGGACCCTAATACTGGTTTGAATTCCCAGCTCCATTATAAGAGACAGATATACCAACAGCAACAAGAGGAGTATAAAGATTGGACCAGCAGTTCTGCTCAGGGAGTGATTGCTGCTGCACAACATAGGCAAGAAGGGCCACGGAAGAGCCCACGGCAGCAGCAGTTTCTTGACAGAGTACGGAGCCCCCTGAAAAACGACAAAGATGGTATGATGTATGGCCCACCAGTAGGGACATACCATGACCCAAGCACTCAGGAAGCTGGGCGCTGTCTCATGTCTAGTGATGGTTTGCCTACCAAAGGCATGGAATTGAAGCACAGCTCTCAGAAGTTACAAGAGTCTTGTTGGGATCTTTCTCGGCAGACTTCTCCAGCCAAAAGCAGTGGTCCTCCAGGAATGTCTAATCAAAAAAGGTATGGGCCACCCCATGAGACAGATGGACATGTACTAACTGAATCTACACAGTCATCCAAACCTAGTAATGTAATGCTGCGGCTTCCAGGTCAAGAAGATCATTCTTCTCAAAATCCCTTAATCATGCGGAGGCGGGTCCGTTCTTTTATCTCTCCCATTCCCAGTAAGAGACAGTCCCAAGATGTAAAAAACAGTAACAATGATGATAAAGGGCGCCTCCTTCACCCATCCAAGGAAGGTGCTGATAAGGCATACAATTCCTACACCCATCTTTCTCACAGTCAGGATATCAAGTCTATCCCGAAGAGAGATGCCTCCAAGGATCTTCCAAACCCAGACAATAGAAACTGTCCTGCTGTTACCCTTACGAGCCCTGCTAAGACCAAAATACTGCCCCCACGGAAGGGACGGGGATTGAAATTGGAAGCTATAGTTCAGAAGATCACATCCCCAAATATTAGGAGGAGTGCATCCACAAATAATGCTGAGGCTGGGGGAGACACAGTCACATTGGATGATATTCTGTCTCTGAAGACTGGTCCTCCTGAAGGTGGGGCTGTGGTTACTCAAGAGACGGAGATGGAGAAGAGAAAAGGCGAGGTTACTGACCTCGTCAGTACAACTAACCAGGAATCAAATGTTGAAAAGCCTCTCCCAGGGCCTTCTGAAGACTGGCGTGGCAGTGGGGATGATAAAGTGAAGACGGAGGTACATGCAGACACAGCTCCTACTGGAAAGGAACCTTCTGGTACTATGACATCCACAGCTTCACAGAAGCCTGGTGGTAACCAAGGGAGACCAGATGGTTCCCTGGGTGGGGCAGCACCACTAATCTTTCCTGACTCAAAGAATGTAGCTCCAGTGGGCATTTTGGCTCCTGAGGCAAAACCCAAGGCTGAAGAGAAAGAGAATGAAACCGTCATGATTTCACCCAAACAAGAAAGTTTCCCCCCAAAAGGGTATTTCCCATCAGGAAAGAAAAAGGGGAGACCCATTGGTAGTGTGAATAAGCAAAAGAAGCAGCAGCAGCCACCACCTCCACCCACTCAACCTCCACAGATACCAGAAGGTTCTGCAGATGGAGAGCCAAAGCCAAAAAAGCAGAGGCAAAGGAGGGAGAGAAGGAAGCCTGGGGCCCAGCCAAGGAAGCGGAAAACCAAACAAGCAGTTCCCATCGTAGAACCTCAAGAACCAGAGATCAAACTAAAGTATGCTACCCAGCCTCTAGATAAAGCTGATGCCAAGAACAAATCTTTTTTCCCTTATATCCATGTAGTAAATAAGTGTGAACTTGGAGCTGTTTGTACAATCATCAATGCTGAAGAAGAAGAACAGACCAAATTGGTGAGGAGCAGGAAGGGTCAGAGATCTCTGACCCCTCCCCCCAGCAGCACGGAAAGCAAGGTGCTCCCAGCTTCATCCTTTATGCTACAGGGGCCTGTGGTAACAGAATCTTCAGTTATGGGACACCTAGTTTGTTGTCTGTGTGGCAAGTGGGCCAGTTACCGGAACATGGGTGATCTTTTTGGACCCTTTTATCCCCAGGATTATGCAGCCACTCTTCCGAAGAATCCACCTCCAAAGAGGTCCACAGAAATGCAGAGCAAGGTCAAGGTTCGGCACAAAAGTGCTTCTAATGGTTCTAAAACAGACACTGAGGAGGAGGAGGAGCAGCAGCAGCAGAAGGAGCAGAGGAGCCTGGCTGCTCATCCTAGGTTCAAGCGGCGCCACCGCTCAGAAGACTGTGGTGGAGGCCCTCGGTCCCTGTCCAGGGGACTCCCTTGTAAAAAAGCAGCCACTGAGGGCAGCAGTGAAAAGGCTGTTTTGGACACAAAGCCCTCTGTACCTACCACTTCGGAAGGTGGTCCTGAGCTGGAGTTACAAATTCCTGAACTACCTCTTGACAGCAACGAATTTTGGGTCCATGAGGGTTGTATTCTCTGGGCCAATGGAATCTACCTGGTCTGTGGCAGGCTCTATGGCCTGCAGGAAGCGCTGGAAATCGCCAGAGAGATGGTGAGTAGGAAAAACTCATTACAAGCTTGGGTTCTGGTTACTTCACTTCGGCTTTGTTTCTTATACCTTAGTCTTTATTTTTATGGATTATTAGTTCTTTCCTTGACCCAAATGATAAACAGAAAAGGAAAGTATTTTGGAAAGGAGTAACTTACATTTTCATCAGTAATGTCTCTGTAGATTGTAAACTTACGTTTTTGCCTATATAGCTTGAGGAAACAAGGGTCCCTGTTTTATCCCTTTTCAACCTTGATCCCTGCTTGTTGGGGGTGGGGGGTTATTCACTTTCAGCAGTACAGCTTTCATAAGTATGTCAATTAGTTTCTGAGTAATATTTTACTGCCGTTTATTTGGTTAATTTCTATAAACCATTTTTCAACATGTGGTACTCACAAATCACGCTATGATTATATTTCCTTTTTTTTTTTAAAAAAAAGTATTTTATTGCGTTAGATTTTGTTCAATTTTATTGATTTGGTGAAGGGTCTACTCTGTAACCCAGTCTGACCTCGAACTCACAATGCTTTTGTTTCAGCCTTCCAAGATCTGGGATTGCAGGTGTGAACTACCACACCCGACGTTTGCTCTAGTTACTAATTCATTTTCATTGCTACTGCTGCTTTTTGTTTTGTTTTTTCGAGATGGGGTCTCTCTCTCTCTCTCTTTCTCTTTCTGTGTAGTCCTGGCTGTTCTGGAACTAGCTCTGTAGTTCAGGCTGGTCTCAAACTCAACCAAAATGTTTGGTTGCTCATGACTGTTAAAAAGATGCTAAAAATGATTATTTAGAAGTTTCTGTTATAGTATGGACAAAACATTCACTGTGTAGACCTTGACATCTTCCCACTTGTTATCAATATAGTACCTATTCCCCTAGGAAGAACAGTTCTTCTAATTAAGTTGGTTTGAGTTAGGGAATTTTACTTCTTATCTCAGACTTTCAGCTAGTGCTCCCATTTTCTAGCCCTACCTCACATACAAGGACCTGGGCCTTCCTAGGTTCTGTGTTACAAGGTCATTTGTCTTTCTAGTTGTTCCTCTTTTTTTTTTTTTTTCCTTCCAGACAGGGTATATCTGTGTAACAACCCTGGCTATCGTGGAACTCACCCTGTAGATCAGGCTAGCCTGGAACTCACAGAGATCTGCTTGCCTCTGCCTCTCTAGTTTTGGGATTAAAAGTGTTGGCTAGCATGCCTGGCTAATTGTTTTCTTTTATACTTTACTCTTTGCTTCCTTTGAACTCACTGGATCATTTACTTCTTAATCCAATTTCCAGCTTTCAGAATTTGTATGTTTTCTTACTTCACATCCTCATTAGCCTCATGTCTTAGTTAGGGTTTTTACTGCTGTGATAAAACACCATAACCAAAAATAACTTGGGGAGGAAAGGATTTATTTTATCTTAGAATTGATAGTCCATCATCCAGGGAAGTCAGAGCAGGAACCAGGAGGTGGGAACTGATGTAGAGGCTGCTTACTGGCTTGCTCAGCATATTTGCTTATAATTCATGACCACTGGCTCGGTGGCATCACCTGCATTGGGTCTGACCCTACCACATCAATAACTAATTTAAAAATACACCAGAGACTTGTCTGAAGGCAAATCTGGTAAAGGCATTTTATCAATTTAGGTTATCTTCCCAAATGACTCTACCTATGTCAAGTTGACAAATCTAGCAGTATACCTGGGAATTTACACACTTCCCTTTGTGGCAAGAGACCATGTGCGTAAACATATTTCAGCCTACTATTATTTAATCAGATTATTGGTCACCACCAATAATCAGGCTCAATCCCTTACTCTGTGTCTAAATTTGTAGTCAGTGTTACAGAAAGTAAGAGACTTTATAAATGATGGAGCTACCTTAAATCACAATTAGCTCCTTCCTCTGAAGTGTGACCAGTGAATAGCATTTAAGTGAAAACATTAAAATTGCTACTCAAAATGTTAGCCTACTACTTGTCAGATTTGATCCTAAAATAAAATCTGGAATGTTATAATTGGAACAGATAAAATAAATGTGATAATCTTTTCTAATCCTCCTCCTTTCACAGTTTAGTGATTGAATGGTTAAAAAAACAAAAACAAAACGACAATGACAACAACAAAAATCCCCGATCATTTGAGAGCCCTTGAGATGGTTCAGCAGGTAATGGTGATTGGTGCCAAACCTGAGTTCAATCCCTGGGACTTAGGTGATGGAAATACTTCTTTTTGTTTTTTAGAACTGGAGTTGTTGATAACAACTGTTTCAGAAGTGCTTTAATTTTATTCTTTAAAGGATAGAAATTTGAAATGCTTCATTTAAGGAGGATGATGTAAAGGTCATTTGACTCAGTGCTTCTTTGTAGTAGATTTGAGCTGGAGCTGTTTTTAGGTTTGACGTGCCTCTGCCATAGTTCCATCAAGGCTGCACATGTCATTCTCTGACACACCAGCAGCTCACCTCTCTTCAGTCTCTGCAGCTTTCAGCTCATTTCCCAACTCTTCTACTCTTCTGTTTATTTTACATCTCACCTTAAGATGAGAATGCTAGCTTTGTATTTTAAACTTAACTTTTCAGAACACTTGAACATCTGTATTCTTGGTCAACTACTCAGTAAAATGGGAAAAGGAAGAGAAAGTAATGGCATTTTATTATACTTAAAGTCAGGTTAATTGGCTTTCATGTTAATGCTATGTAGCATAGGCTGTCCTTGAATTCCTTTTCCTCCTGCTTCAGTTTCCCAACTGCAGGGATTTTAATTAACATTCATTGTCACAACTGACTGACTTTGTTTTGGCAGAAGCAGGTGGATCTTTGTGAGTTTGAGGCTAGCCCCATCTACATAGTGAGTTCCAGTCCTATCATGGTAGCAAGACACTGTCTCAAAAAACAAAGACACATGGCTGGGTGTGGTGGTGCATGCCTTAAATCCCAGTACTCAGGAGTCAGAGGCAGGAGGATCTTTATGAGTTTGAGGCCAGCCTCATCTGCAATGTGAGTTCCTGGACAGCTAGGGCTGTTACACAGAGAAAGTCTGTCTTGGAAAACAACAAAACAAAACAAAAATTCGATAAAGCCATTAATCTCTGTATATAAGAAAGTTCAAGGAACTCTGTGGTGGTGAATTTAAATTTTCAGCTTGACCTCATCTATAATCTCTTAGGATGCACTGCTCTGAGTGTTTCTGTGAGGAGTTTTCAGTGAGGTTTAAGTCAAGAAGATCTATCAAAGGATGAATAGAGTCTGCCTAGTAATGAAGTTGTTTAACCCAGGGACTTGTACATGCTATTCAAGTATCTACCACTGAGCTATATCCATAGTCTATAATGGATTTTTTTGTTTTGTTTTTTGAAGCAGATCTTTCTACATAGCCCTGGCTGTCTAAATAGTAGACCAGGTGGGCCTCAAACTCACAGAATCCACTTGCCTCTACCTCCTCAATGCTAGGAATAAAGGTGCCCCCCCCCCTTTTTAAGTAAACCTTTTCAAAATACTAGTATTATAATGGAGATTCAAACTGTTGAGTGTGTGCTATAATCAGGGCAAATACCTCTCTACCTATGTCTAATCCCTACTCAGTTAATGAAGTGTGAACTCTAGAGAGCGCCAGTGTGCTTTAAGGTAATCCTAATGGCTTTCAATTGATGGACATCTCCATACACCTAGACAGATTTATAAACATAGGAACTATGTGGCCAGGTTTGTGTAATGAAGAAGCTCAAGAAAGGAAGGAAGAAGTGAGTGGCAAGTAGAGGAGTTAGAAAGAATGTGGTTGATGCCATCTGAATATGAAGGAGAAAAGAAAATCAGAGGGGATAGACTCAAAATGTTTTAGGATTTATACTGGACAGATTTTATACTAGCTAGATAGGGCAGCTAAAGGTAAGTGCAGGGGCCTAGGTATAGCTGCTAAGGTTCTAGCTTTTTGAGCAAGTGGCTGGGGTGGACAACAGGGCACATGGAAGTACACCAGTAATGGAAAAGAGGAGAAAAGTTTATAATTGATGTGTTGTGAACAGAAGAAAAACTAGGGCTGGAAAGATGGCTCAGTGGTTAAGAGCATTGCCTGCTCTTCCAGAGGTCCTGAGTTCAATTCCCAGCCACCACATGGTGGCTCACAACCATCTGTAATGGGATTTGGTGCCCTCTTCTGGCCTGCAGGCAGACACACAGACAGAATATTGTATACATAATAAATAAATAAATATTTTAAAAAAAGAAAAACTAGATATGGAAGCATTTTAGTTCAAAAGACCTGATTAAGTCAGCAGTAGGCTTTAGTATAGAGTTTTTAAATAAGGACTGATTATTTTTATTTAGCTTTTGAAATAAATGTAAAAATAGTAAACTTGAAAAATTAAAATTATCTTTGAAGAGAAGGGAGATGTTATAGACTACTGGGGAGTTCAGAGAAGCAAGAGTTGTCTTTTCTACCACATAGGTCCCAGGGATTGAATTTAGGCCATCAGGCTTGACAGTTAGTGCCTTTATCACCAAGCCATCTCACCACCACCAAAATGTAAATTTCTATTTTTTATTTTATTTTATTTTTTATTTTTGGATTTTTTTTGTTTGTTTGTTTTTTTGTTTTTCGAGACAGGGTTTCTCTGTGGCTTTGGAGCCTGTCGCTCTGTAGACCAGGCTGGTCTCGAACTCACAGAGATCCGCCTGCCTCTGCCTCCCGAGTGCTGGGATTAAAGGCGTGCGCCACTACCGCCCGGCTATTTTTGGATTTTTTGAGACAGGGTTTCTACATAGCTTTTGGTTCCTGTCCTGGAACTAGCTCTTGTAGACCAGGCTGGCCTTGAACTCACAGAGATGCGCCTGCCTCTGCCTCCCGAGTGCTGGGATTAAAGGCATGCGCCACCACTGCCCGGCAAATGTAAATTTTTAAATCCAAGCCAAGTAAAATAGGAAATCATAAGGTATGGCTAAAGAAAGTCCCCACAGAGAAAAGCCTTGAAAAGAGAGCAAAGAACTTGTTATTCTTACTATCTCATAAGCTACATTATGATG